ATGAATTTGTATATCTAATTAAATAATTCAAACTTTCTTTAATTGTTGTTTATTACATTGTTGTTGTGAAATTTGAAACTAACAAAGAAAAATTTATTATTTTAAAAGGATAAGTTTAAAAAATAAAAATACATCAAATAAAAAAGCAAATTATTATCATGACCAAATTTTTACTTTATTTTCTATTGTATTAATTCTTCATAACAATACATCAATATTGCTAGCAGATTCTAAGTGGAAATAAATCAAAGATTAATAGGTATATATTTTTTAAATTTTAAGAATAAAATAAGACTATTCATTAACCATTTTAGAAGTAAAATATATATATATATATATATATATATATATAATATGTATTAAATAAATAAATAAACTTTCTTTTAAATTGTGTTATAATTTTAATTATTAAAATTATATTTATTTGTTATAATATTTTTATATATATATTTATATATATTAAAATGATCCACTTATTTAATAAATTGATTTATCCTATTGTAGAAAATTAAGAAGCTTGAGATGAAAGTTAGAAACTGAAGGAGGAGAAGATGGAGTTAAGTTGAAGAAGGTTGGGAGTGGAGGGAGCATGGGCTAAGAACAAGGGAGATTGAGATGAGAGCCATGATTTTAATCATGGTTTGTAGAAATGATCAATTTTTTTTAATGATAGTTATGATACGGTGGATTGATTTAGTAAATAGGTTAACCATTTTAACATTTCTTTCTCTATATATACATGTATATATATTCAAATCAATTTAATGAGATAAATGTGATAAGATTATCTTTAGAAAAATTAAAAATTATTAATTATATAACCTAAACTAAAATTAACTATTTTACATATTTTTTACCAATTTCTAAAATAAAAAATAATCAATAATTTTTCTAAAGAAGATTTTTATTCTTCCAAAAAAATAAAATTATTTATATATCAATATATGAATTTCAATCTATTTATTTAAAATATAATAAAAAATATTCATAAACCAATATTTTTATTTTTTTCAATATAACTAACTATATATTAGATTATATTTATTATAAATTAGATCTTAAGTATTTTCTGAAAACATGTAGAATTTTTTATAAAGCCAATTATTATTTTCAATAATTCTAATTAAAATAGTCCTTTTCATTGAGAGCTAAAATAAATTATAAGAGGTATTTAAGTTAAATTACATTTACGCTTTTTATATTTTAAGAATTGAATTAGAGAAAAATATTTTTTTTATCTTTAATTGGAATAATTTTTTAACTTTATTTTTGAGTGATAATATCTAAGACATAATATGCATAATTGTAATTTATTTCTTTATTTCAATATGCATGTATGTATGTATATATATATATATATATATATATTGAAAGTTGGAAAGCCGAATTACTTAGATATATTAATTTCTTGAACTTGAGATATTAAATTACGTGATTGGAAATTAAATTAAATTAAATGTGTTCATGCTTGATTAATAACTTTAATTATTAAATTTCAATACAAAAGATATTATTGTTGTAGGTTCCAACGATTATATTTTCTTTAAACTTGTAGAATGTTGATAAAGCATGTTAAAATACCCAAGTGCATGATATTAACACAAAAACACAAACTCTCTTGGGATAAAAAATGATGCAAAGTGTAAGATTCTTCTGCTGTGGTCTGATGGAAGGTATGGAAAGGATGTGTGGTCATCAGCTGAATGAATGAATGAATGAATGAATGAACGAGGGAGGGGGTGTAGCAGTAAGTAAGCCAGTCAGTAAGCCAGTAAGTGAGGAGGAGGAGGGAGAGATAATAAATGGGGTGGAGGGGTGGGGAAGCAGGGCCCCCTATCACATCCAGAGTGAATGAAAGCTACTATGGTGAATGGGGGGGGGGAGAAGGGTACCACCACCACCACCACAGCACCATACAACATTACTTACACAACCTAACCTAACATTAACTTACACCTCATTCACCCCCCAAAGGTCAAGCATGTGACAGGACATCAACCAACCCCACCCCCTTTTGCTTTGCTTTCCTGTCCTTTCCTGCCTTTTCTTTCTCCTTCCCACATTTACCCCAATTCCCTTCATTCTGCTTGCTACAGAGAGAGAGAGAGAGAGAGAGAGGCACAAGTGGTGGTGATGGTGGTGGTGTCTCCTCCTCAAACACACAACCCTCTTTCACTTGCTTACATGCTTACTCTTCTTACATAGTGAGTGAGTGCTACTGCTGGGCTGTCACTTGTAAGCCAGTCAGTAGTAGTAGTAGTAGTAGTAGTACAGCTGCTGATGCTACTACTATGACTACAGCCACCACCACTCCTACTTCTATACTCCTACTTCTACTATTTTAGGAGGCCTCTCATGATTGATGTCCTGCTCTGCTCTGCTCTTTGGATGGATGGATCAGTAAGGTACCCCCTCTTCTTTTCTTCTTTGTTTTGGGGGATAGATAGATAGACAGATACAACACTCTCTGGTTTTCATTCAATTACAGTGGGGGCGCCCTTGTTGGTGGGGAAATTTTGTTTAAGATAAAAGAAGGAGTGTTCATACCTTTACCAACCCCCTTTGCTGCACCCACCCAGTGCAAAGTGTGTTAGAAGAGATGGAACTCCTCTCCATCTCGCAGAGGGGAGAATAATCATAAATAAATAAATAATGACAATAATAAAAGGATTGTTGCTGTTGTTGTTGTTGTTGTTATCATCCCTGTTGTACATTCAAACCACATGAGAAGCATTGGCCTCTAGCCTACTACCTCCACTGCTCTCCAACTTCCTTCATTTTATATAGGTCCTATTCCATCAATCAAAGGTATCTTTAATTCCTATCCTATCCACTTCCAACACACTTAACCCTGTCCACATCCTGTACAATTTTTCTTTGTTTGTTTTTTTAAATGTTTTTCAAATGTGTATTTTTATTTTTTGATTTGTTGGTGATTGTTATCTATTACCACACTTGAATTTAATGATTGACATGTTATGAAGTAGTATGGTATAGACTTCATTATGACATGGCAGATTGTGAGTATCACCATCCAAAAGTCAAGCTGTGAGTATCATTATCAAAAACAGATGGCACATGTAATTCATTCAACCAAGGTATCTTTTTAATCTCAAGAAGCACCCAAACACAACTGGCACATCAAAAACTAAATTATCTACATTTAAATTATGCCCTTATCAAATTTCACAGCAATTAAAAATAGTAACATTATTGTGAAAATTCACATTTTAGGAACCGGAATAAATGTCATTCAATAAATGCACACATTAATATTTAAATGTTTGGATTTACCAAAATAAGGAAGCAGGTAGCTGCTATTGGGTTTGGCTGTGTAGTAGTAGTAAGGAGTGATGTTGAAGTGCACTGACTGCATGCAACAAAGAGAGTACACAAGAATAGAAATGGAGCACACAAGGAAGGAAAGGAGAGATCAATGGGTAAAAGGACTTTCACCTCCTTCCTTTCATTTCTAATTGTAGTTTTTCTTTGCTGATTGAGTGTGTTGTTGTTGTTGCTGCAGCTGGGCATCTCAGGACACCTCATGGGGCCAGCCTCGACCAGCCGTGCAAGAGAGAGCCCACCTGTGCTCCCATTGCTATCGCAACCTGGATGTGCAGCTCCACCTCCCAAACTACATCTCAAGTCCCCCCCCCCCCCCCCCAAACACCTCTTTATCTTATATTATGTTACATCTATCCACCAACATATCTTGTGATATGACCAATATGTAATTTTTACAAAAAATAAAATAGAAGAAGAAGAAGAAGAAGAAGAAGGAGAATGTACAACTGTAAATTTTTATTTGTAAAGATTGGATAGATATATGTAATTGCCAATACCATTGGACTCAAAAGTGCAATACTTGTTTATTTTCTAACATTTGTGACATAAGTACATGAAAGTTTCACATCATGGCATTGAAAAGTGTTTGGAACCCATCCATAAGTCTCTAAGCCTTCACAATTTCTCAAAGGTAACAACAATAGCCACTAGTTATTATTCTTATTACTTAAATCATAAACAGTATTTAAATTTAAACTTTTAATAATTAAATATAATAACACACAAATTTATTTTATTGATATATATATATATATATATATATATATATATAGCTCTTATCACTAAAAATAGATTTAATGTAACTTGTTTTTATTGCTTGTATGTATACACTCAAAAATAACTCTTAAAAAGAATGATCTTTATCAAACTTTGTTTGGAGAAAACGTATTTATAGAACAGGTATCAACAATGAATTTTACACAGGTCTTAGTTATTTAAGCAAATGATACTTTTAATCAAGATGATTTATACTCATGCATGATTGTAATAAAGAATGAGCTATCATACAAGTTGTTCAAAATTTTTAACTTGTGTGTATTTTATTTGTATTTCTGTTCAGATGAAACAACGGTGTGTACTTAAACTAGTAAGTAGATCTTTTTCGCAAAATTTATATCACTTCGTTCTAAAATGGAGGATGAATCTAATTTATTTCGTCCATGGAGAATGTGGCATCCGCGATCGAATTAATCCAATTCCAGTCTACTCTCTAAGAAGTGAATGGGGGTGACCTTACGTTTGTGCTCCAATCCAAATGACCCAGCTCGGAAGAAGCTTTGTTCAATCATCGCATCGACACGTTCCTAGAGTGATGGGGCAGGCCGTATCTGCAGAATGCGGTGTAGCTGAAAGGATGAAGGAGGCGTCCTATTCGAAACAGCTTCTGATCAGTATGCCAGCGCGAAGCACTGCGCAACAGATGGGATGAGTAACGATGGATCTAGCCGGCGGTAGAAGATCCCTTCATCAGACTGAGGACGTTGATTTTTGATCGTTGTCATCATGAGTGACGGTGTTTGCTGATTTCTTGAGAGTCGATGCCACAGAAATGTAGACCCAAAGTGTTTATCATCACATCAATAAATCGTATGAAAAACAGAGCAGCTCTTCCAGTAATATAAAGGGGTATGGAATGCTAGTAGAGTTGAAACCTGGAAAGAAGAATCACGAGGTCCTCATGCTAGTATTACGTTAATATCCATGGTTCCGAAGTTCATTGCAATCGATCTGCATGATGGTTAAGAATGCAACCCTGCCGATAAAGTTAGTGATATTCAGGTTGAGTGTCTCAACCAGGATCAGAAGATACAACAAACTCGTGAACGTAGCAAAGTTGAGTTGTGCCCTTGGCTTTTCACTAAACTTTCGAAATGATGGATACCTGGAGACGGGATTTAGTAGGATTGCAATCATTGATGTCTTCCCTTTGGAGACTTGATCCGCAGAAACGGGAATGACAGGCCAGGGAGAATCCTCCCAACTGATTCTCATATATTTGGTTACAAATTCAAATTTGGAGCTGCTACAACAGATCTACTTCTCCTCCTCTAATTTCTAGGATCGCAAACGATCGACATTCGTAAAATTGACGATTCTTGTAATTGGAAAATTGTTCACCAAGCCTGCTTGAATTGCTTCGAATACCAGAATTGTTTCAGCCTGATGGAGTTTAGCCTTATGTCGCTGCTTCACTGATGACTGACGTGGTACTACGATTCGGCATTCGGAAAGCAAACTGTCATGTTGCCCAAATTGTCGACTTCCTTCACCAGATCGATTGCAACTTCACCACGCAGCCCACCTTCTCTACAGCAAAACTTTGTCCACTGCAAATGTTCAACTGCAATTGCATCATAAGAGATTTATTTTCTAATACTCACATGGATACCGTATGCAGGCAAAACAAGCTTCGTGATCCTTACTGAATGGACGAATCCCGTTTTGATGATCTGAGTGGCAGTGAGTTCTAAATCTGCATCTTCAAGCGCATTACAAGTATGTTCACCCCCAATTTCCACACAAGCGACATCATGACGGCTCTTGTTAAACCCCTTAAAAGCAACTTCTAATTCCAACGACGCCCCCTTAAAAATTAGGTTAAATTAGATGAAAACGTCGAGCCGAACACCATGATTCATGAACAGGTTCAGAAGATTACATGGACTATCTGCGTCAGCGTAATTTTCGGATCGGGACTATTTCCACGCGTAACTCATGAAATGCTTGTAATCTCGATCGCTGGTAACAATGTCATCGAAAAGTCCTCCATTCAGCCATTTTGTCATCGACCGCACTTCCTTCAGCCACCATTGTTCACTTTTATGATCATACCTTTTGTATCACGTGAAAAAGGAAACTGATGTGTGTATAAATACAAAAAAATATATAGAATATTTAAAAATTAAATAATAAAACGTAGACGAAAAGAAAAGGAAGAAAACATGTGCAAGTGATGTCCACAAACTGCAGCAAGCCATGGCCAAGAATCAAGAAAAACACGAGCTCTGTACTCATAAAATAAAACCGATCAACACGCACCTCAACACAATTCTCCTAACTCACGGATCAGTATTCAGCATCAGGTTACAGTCTAATGATCGACGCAAGGTCGGCAAAAACATTAACTAAGCGAATAATCAATGCCGGGGGTAAACCAAGAGTATACTTACTAATGGAACAGTACTCACGATCACATGATGCGTCAATTAGTTTGTGCGCACAATTGAAATGCGTGCTAGAGTGTCCGTAAACGAAGCAGGCTACGGTTCGGTGGAGCGAAATTAATTGCTTCAGAGTCACGCTGCCACTACAACCACCGCATCTCACCCGTGCCTTCGGCATTGATGCTCATCCCGCTCAACGACGTCGGAGGATATTTTCCCAGCAATTGTTCGAAAAAGCACATACTTTTTCTGATTTAACTACTTTTTTGAGGTGTCCTTTTCCTCTTTGCGATGCGTGTTCTGATCAAAGCTCGCGTGGCATCCTATCTTTACCAGATTCCTACAGTTGATCTTCAATTTAAAAAATATTAAATACATGTTGGTTTTATGTTGCTGAATGTTGAAAAAGGTATTAACGATGGTCAGTAGTGTTTTCTGTCCATTTCATGTTAGCTGTAATTTTCATTTTCATACTTTTCACGAGGTTTGATGGTTTGATGGCAATAGAAAAATGGAAGAAGAATAATATCAATAACACTAAAATAGAGCACCATGTGATACTTTATTTTAATGAGAAAAAGTAAGATCGATATTCAGCGCATCAGGCTAAGAATCAGAACACTATTCCACAGTTCAGCATCTACAATAATTCTTCAAATCTATGAAGGCCCTTGTAGATCTCAAAAACTATAATCTGTTTATCTTCAGACGTTCTGACAGATGCACTGTAATCAGTCCATGTCGACGGAGCACTTTCACGTCGTTCTTTGACTTCGCGGATCACAGAAGCTTGCGTTGGGAAGAACTTTGCTTGTGCGTGCCGCCTCACGCCATCTCCGCGCCTGCATCGCTTTATGACATCAGCTTCTTCTTTTCTGGGAGTCCATGTTGCGAGGTTGCCCATACTAGGTACAGCAGGGGAGAAGATTCAGTAGCTCGTCTGCACCGTCACTTGCTATTTGTGATTCGAGGCTTTGAGCTACTTATGATGATCGCTTGATTGGGAAGATGTAATAGTTTGAAAAGATCGGTAACTTGGAAACTTGGTAACGGTTGCGTGCTTATCTTCTTTCTGGAAGTGTAAGTTAGGCCTCATAAGCGAAGGCATTCTACAAAATTTATCAGTAGTTGCAAGCTCTTAGTGGCGTTGATGTGATGGAATGCTTGTTGTGCTTTGTTTCTGCAGTCAATTTGTAGATTATCTAATTATTCAATCGTTGTAGGGTTACAGGTGTGATGTCTCATATCCGTATACTTGTCTGAATTTGGCCACCACCTTGCATATGCAGGCCTCTTGTGTATCGCTAGATTTTTCCTCTAAGGGACGTGTTGCCTTTGATTTTTTTGTACAGAATCTTGCGTTTCTCGTTTGAAGTACCTCTTGCTCATGTGCTTTTTGCGACGTTCCATATTCCAGGTGCATCGGTATACGCGGAGCTTTGTCTTCAGTAATTCTATTGATGGCCACAAAGTTGATAGAAGCGACCTCCTTAACTTGGTCGGCTGCATCTACCTCAACCGCCTGCTCCCGAAAGCAAAAGGTTTTAGAAATTGGCCGTGTTCGGATTTATCAGAGCTTGAGCACTGGTATGGCGTTCGCATCCACGACAAGCTTTCTGTCCCGATTGCCATGAACTTGTTTCCACGGAACTAATTCGAGGAACATGTGGTTCAAATCACATCGAAATCGAAGAGCACGATTAATTCCTATTTACACTTTGTATAACCCTGAGGTTTTCGTAAAGATAATCGACCCCTGTTTTATGACTAATTACTATTTCGAATAACGTGAATCCCCGTTTCCTTCTCAGGAATCAAAACACTCAAATCAGGACCAAAGCCGGCAAAGGGCTGTATCCGGATGGCAAGTTCAAAGGTACGTTATACTCTCCGCTTTGGTTGGAAAAAAATGAAGATGAGAGTCGAGCACTTTTTCGTGGTGTAGAGTAGCTGTCATTCTCTGTGGGTGCCGAAACCTTCAGCTCAAACTCCTCCATAACAAAATAGCTCATAAGTGAGTGATACCTGTTTACAGATTGAATCATAGGTTGTGATGTTCATGTGCATATTAGAACTCGAGCATAAGTTGTTAAATGAGTTTACTGGGATTTTGTATCTAGCAGGTGTTTGACACGGATGTCGGAGTTGAAAAATGGACAATGCCCGACAGCAAGCCACTCGGTCACGAGACCGTCGTGCAAGTGACCCCTCGTGACGTCTGGTTCTGGCAAGCCGACACACATTGGAAGACATGGCATGGGCTTTGGATCAACTATCAGCCTCAAAAGACGAAAGAGTTAACCAAAGAGTACAAGTCAGTTCGTTCCCTGCAAAAGGTTGACCCAGAACGTTTAAAGTATTACCAAAGGTAAGTGATTCAGCTCACTCTCCCTGCTCTTCTGATTGTGGTGCCTCTTTCTTTTCGAAAATTGTCTTCATTTGGCGATGCTGTATCTTATTTCAGTTGACACTGTTTTGGGTGTGTTGTATAGAAACCAATGGTATGATGCAAAGGGTTTTGGCAAAGACATAAAATGGGCGTACGGACCTTGGCACTTCAATATCGAGGAGCACCTTCTAAATGATGGAATATTGCACCCATGTTCTAAAGATCATCGCACGCTTTTATTTCCCAGTGGAAACCTGGGTTGGATTCAAATGTATTTGAAGCCAAATGATCCTAACAGCGTTATTTTTAGTGAGCCCATGTTTTACGTTAGTAAGTATCTCATTCCCCAACTACATAATACAATTTCCACGTTTAGCTTTAGAATCTTGAGTGGTATTTACATATGTTCTGAATTTGGTTTTGAATCTAGCAACTGATCAGTGTGTAACCTGCTGATAACAGACCCAAACCAGAGAATCTCAGTTCCTGTGGGCTACGACAGCGAAGGAATGCTGGGGACGGCTCTCCTGCTGGAGGAGGTACATGACACAGAGGAAAGGTTTGACTCGACATGGTCTGGAACCTTCTGGAAACACTGCAGGTGCGCACCGTCTCCTAGAAAAGTTCTCTATTCATATAATTTTTGCATTCCACAACCCCCTCCTCTCTTTTAATTTTTTAATTTCTTTTACAGCCATTAATTTAGCTGTAATGTTCAAACAACGTTAAATGCGTACAAAAAGTATGATGTGATTATTAAGGAATGTGGGATATATCAGGGATCCACTTGAAGAGACCAGGGAGGAGCCAAAGGGAGTTTATCGAGGGCACGAAGAGAGCATTACCCCAGGGATGGAGTGGATGATGCGGGAGGCAGAGTGGCAAGGTTTTCAGGGAGGCTTGAGCGGAGAGTTAGCGGCCAACTACACCCTGGTGCACATGCCTAATAATGTAACAGTATTTGCGCCTAAGAAAGCGGCTGTACATAAGGATTTTGCTTTCTATGTTACGTACGTGGAGAAGGACAAGCGAGTGCGTGTTATGTCTGTTGCCTACGGAGCTGATCTCAATCTCGCGTACATCAAATGGGGAGTTTACGACAAGGTTGATTGAGGATATTGTCCGTTGAATTCTTGGAACTTCGCCAAGTCTGATGAGGGATTCTTGTATAGTGTTTTATAGAGGGACATGACAACATTTGAAGATTTCAATTGCAAGGGATTTACCTGAGGTCCTTTGCTGGGAATGCATTGAGAGCGTATTTTGTTGATTTACATAGGCAATTTAGAGGGCACGTTTGATGTTAATGATATTCTACTGTTAAATACTTGAAAGATCAGAGCTAGTGTTTGCTTGTATTTTAAAAAGGCCTTGGTACTTGTGAAAGTGAGTTTTCTGCGCAAGTCTGACATCTCCCGCATCATATTTGATCTTTGCTGGACTCCGTCCTTGGTAACTCTGATCTGACTTGCGCAGAAAACTTGAATGCGCTATTAGCTTGCTAAATATTATTCTCCCTAGTGAAGCGGAAAATACTTGACCTTAAGGATTTAAGAGTGTGAGTCGACAAACTTTCACAGGAGAATCATCTTCAAATGATGAGCAAGGAATGATTCTGCCCAGTAGAAGAAGTGGACCAAATGATCAGCTCTATTGAGAAAATTGGTAGATCGATTGCGAAGTACCAGCTGATCAAAGCGAAGGATAATATTCACACAATCACAGACTATTTTTCATTTCTGATGAAATTCAAGCACTAGTAGGAACCATCAATATCACCAGAATCCATGCAGTTTTCCGCTTCATAATTTGGTGAACAACCCAGAGCGAGTCGACATGAACCAAGCCCCTCCACCCTCCTTAAAACAGTATTCTAGGTTCTAATTGCCAGGCGAAAAAAATCTGGTAATACCAAAATTAGCTTTCATTTTGTGACTAAAGTTCGCCGTAGCTGAGGCAAAGCTGAACAATTGTGCAAAGACAACTGGTAGCATTAGGACAATATGTATGGTAAGTGTCAGATTGAAGTCACAACGGAACAAAAACCTCACACCACAAGAATGCTGGTGTCTCAAAAGGTTGAAACGCGCCGCACTTCATGAAAATGTTCCAGAACTTTGAGGGTGGGATAGAAATTTACATCCAGTATGTGATCAAAAGACTTAATCAAAATGCAATATTGACAAGTTACTTGCTCATTAATGTCGTTTCTGTCACCATCTTCTTGAGCACATTCTACTGAGTACAGTAAAATCTTACGAGGTGTGGATATACAGACTCACGCCATGCCGTTCAAGGGTATGGCTCAATCTGATGCTGGAGTTAATTTGCCCATCACCATGTCACCTTGCTCAAATTTACAAGATGCAAAACAACCTAGAGGTGTAGACGATGACAGAATCGCCACGGCCAAGAGTGCTGCTGATTAGTCTCCTCAAAAGATGCAATATTCAGAAAAATAGTGCAGCACAATTAATCCTGGGCGATAGATGGTCAACTTTGGTTGGAATTGAAGGTGCTTTCGAGCACTTACTTACGTCGTAGGCTCGCAATGAACTGCAAATAGAAGCTGGAGTAAGCTGACAGAATTGTAAACAATCTCGAGTCATCTTTGGTCACCATCTATCCAACCACAGAACACGGACTGCTGTTTGAGTTAATGTGCGATCAATTTTATCAGTATCTATTTTTCTTTCGCCAAATGTACAAGGGCACGAAATTTGTAGTTTTCAATACCACGATGAAAAACCACATGCTCAGTAATGTTGCAGCTGACAATTGCTTTCAAGGAAGGCAAGATTTGAACACATTGTACTGCACCAAGCATCGAAAGCTTCAGACAAGTTTGGCCAGCTTTGGGTTGGCCATTTTGAAAGATAAGGTTCCGGCTCAAGGGGAGGGAGTGTCTCCAGAACCCCATTCAGGGCCTTGTCCACGTTCTTTTTAGTATCCTCATAAACACAAAAGTCAATTCCGACAAGCGCCGGTAACCATGCCTTAACCAAAGCAAGGCGAACTGAATTCTCAAGCCATATCTCTCCCTTCGCCACAATCTCCAAATAGCGAATAAGAACATTGCATGTAACCTGGATGAAAGTAATTCCGGGGTACGTGTAGTCCGAGCTTACATGAGGCCATATTCCAAACAACATCTGTGAGAATGATCGGTCTGTGGAGATCGTTCGGGTCGCCTCCTCGGCAATTCCAAAATCTACGAGACAATTCAAGAGCCAACAGAGCCCTTTCCCAGCTACTGAAAACTCTTCATCTTTGTACAAGTGAGGAATCCTACAATGCTGCCGAAAATCTTCAACAGCTCTCCGAAGTTCTTCATACATTACATTTTTCACCACACCTGCCACAGATTTTGACACCGTTGGACCTCGCATTGAGCCTTTCCGTAGTCTTTCAAATGCGGATCTGTTCTCGAAGACTTTGGTCTCGATCATTTCTGGCTGATTCATTCACATACTCTTAAACAAAAGAGTCTATAGAACCCGTTTCAATGCATCCAACGAGCTTTCCATGGCAAGTGTGCCGAAGGTGTCAAGCCGGGCAGCTAAATCAGAGGTTGGAGCGATTTGAAAGGCCGCGACAGCGGATCGTATGTCGAACAAGTTTGCTGCATTCCATGGCATGACAGCCAAGTAACGCATGCAAGCATCCACACATTCCTGAAACACAAGTTGCGCCGCTACAGGGAGGACTTCAATTGCATGGGCAACATTCGCGAAGGAGGATGGAGAAATCTCTGGCCCATACAAGAGCTGCATACATCTCGTATATGCACGAGGGTTGCAACGAGCTTCGAGAGTGAGCTCAAGAGGGAGATCAGTGTTTGACCACCGCTCGACTAGGCACGCATCGAAGTACTGGCACCTGCAAACATCAGCCCCATTTCAGTGCGTGAACAGACCCATTCCACGGGAAGAATCAAGGCAAACAACGTGTACGCAAGCTTACCTTTCACAAACTGACGGTTGTAAATGAAGAACGTGAGTGGATCACGCATCTGAAGCGATTGTCGCAATAAATATCTTACCTGCGAAGATATGCAGAGTGAACATGCAAAGTTGCAATCGAAGATCCCCTGTCAGATTTTTTGTTTGATGATTGACCTTGCTCTTGGAAGTCATTCCTCGGGCCTTGTTTTCTAGAGTTTTTACATGGTGGTCCCTTCCCTGAGTCTTCTGGAGGGAACCTATCCGAGTCCATTGATTGAAACGGGTCCAACCGTAACGTTACGTCGCTAATTGCATCTTCTTTAAGCCAGACTTCCACAGGAGTTCCCGAACCATCTGCCTCGAGGCGCAATGGAGGGGCCAGACGGAGAGTAATGGAGCTCTCATCATCCTTCGGCCAGACCTCCATCAGCATTCTTGTCCTGGATCTTTCATCTGAAAGGAACGACGTTTTCCTGAACTTTAAGTTCAACAGAATGGTTCGCTTCGACGAGAGTAACTTTGATCTGGAGCGCCGTTACATGTAAAGCGAAAAAGAAACAATTCAGTGAAGTACTGCCAGATCTGTCCTCAGTTATGTCCTCCGAAAAGCTCGTCAGAGGCATTCTTGCATGCGAACATCAGTAAAAAGGGCCACCCTTCTAGAACTTTGTGGGCAGCGTAGAAGATCATGTCATTGATTCTGACCGTGCATGCTTAGGAGGCTGATCATTACAGAAGAACTTGAAAGGTGCAGAATCAAATGAAGCATGGTACGAAGACTTGTGTCACTTTACTATTGAGGAGCAAAGTCCAATGGCTCCAGAATAAGCAATACTTCTGTATCACAAAAACGCAACCAGTGACGCACGATCCATGAAATGCGGGTACAAATCACAGAATTCAAGCTGACCTGCCTAAGGGAAACCCACCGTTAACCAACCAGTGGGCCACTTCGTTTTCACACTCAACAAAACTAACCAAATCCAGCACTGGGATGCGTGAGATATATTGGGCTCAAAGAGGGCACTTGCCAAGGTAAGAGAACATTGACTAAAAGAACAAATATCAACAAGGCGATGATGACTGAAATTGAAGAGATCAAACAAATATTGCCTCTGAAAATTTACAAAACCGCCTCAGTAAGAGTTCCATTCGAAACTATTCGAAACTATTCGAAGGCCAAAAATCTCCTTCTGGATCGGTGAAGTAACGACGGTTGAGTGAAGAACTCCCTGCACTGTGTTGCACTCAATTTCCATCCTAGTAATTGGAGAGTTACCAGTTTCTATGAGGTTCATAACCCCTCATATTCAATCAACAATCGTACAAAAGACACATAGCATTGTGGAGAGCAGTTCGAGAGAACTTGAATAGGCCAAGTCAACGGAACTTCTATGAAGAATCAATGATAAGTCCATTGAGTATTGCTTAGACAAAGAATAGAGACATTTCCCACGCCGTATAAAGGAAATAGGACATACTTCACGAGTCTTCGGAGCTTGATGGTGGTTCATACATGTTGCAGCAGTTATAAAAAAAACATTCATATCCACGCAGCCCGTTTTACGAGCACTGAACTCATAGAATTAGGGCTGTAGCACTAGAATTTTCCAAGTATCGGAACGGCTCGGAAGAAGTCACCTCTTTCTAAAATGTCAAAATGGTTTGAAGTAACAACTACAAACGTCTGTGTTCGTGACCAATTAAACAGCTAAAAGACTCATAAAAGTCATTCAGTAAACAATACTATGCCGTAATAGAAGAAAGAAATCAAATAAAAGAAAATGAATAAATAAACTAAAAGCATTTACTGATCTGTAAAGACATAGAGATAAAGCGCAGTTGTTCCGTCCCGTCTTCCCATTCCATGACCAAACAAAAAATCTTAGTTTCGTTGAAAAAAGGCAGGCTTCGACGCAGAGCCCCATAAAACCACACGCAAACTGGAACGTCCAGAGTGGGCTAAGACTTCGTTAAACTGGATACTGGGTGGAGTTCTCTTCGCTACAATCAAAACAATCCCGATTAATGGTTTAGATCTTGCATGAAATTACACCCAGAAAAAGGGAAAAACAAAACGAAACGAAACGGATAGAACTGAAACTAATTTTTTTCTAAAATAAAAATAAAAATAAAAAACGACACACTAAGAGAAGGGAAAAAAACTACGCTCGCGATTAACAGATAACGTTGGCTAGGATTCGAAGGCAACGAAGGAATCCCTCTGCAAAGGAAGTGGAAAACAAAAGCAAGAGCTACAGGTTACCTACAGCACTGCCCCTGGAAAAGGAGAAACGACAAACTCCGCTTCCCGTCCCAACAGAACTCCTTCGTTCGTTCCCCCCATTCTGCGATATTTTGCTATTCTGTACATATAGAACTTTCCCCATCGTCCGACTGTTAAGAGGTCAGATTATAGTGATATTTTGACACGTTATCTCCGACAGGTTTGCTTCACGTTAGTTTGCTCATGAAAGAGTCGGGGCTGAGAATTTCTTCATCGAATGTAATGGTATAGTGAGTAGATTAGTGTCACAGCTACTTGTGCGAATGTTTCAGCTGGATATTGAGAAAATTAATTGATTTTCGAAGACTACATTGTCGACTCGTTTAAGTTCTTTGTCAGAAATTGTCTTCGAGTTAACTAACCCTGTAAATAACAACGGTCAAGGCCTCTCATTCATTTCCGTAGTGTACACGAAGCCACTCGGTCATGACATCGACGAGGGTTGAGCTGGGCAGAGTGCGAATCATTCCCGCCATTATTTCAGCTAATATTTTGCATGGAAAGATATTGGAGTATTTTACCCGCAAGTCTCAGAAAACAAATATCTGGCCCAACAGAACTGTATACTTAGGCTCCAAATGACAACACCTCCAGCTGAAACTCTCTCTATGTGAGTAGTCAGAAGTGAACTTACGCAAGCAAGAGTCATGCCAGTTTGTCTGCTCTAAGAGAAGCAATGCCGACAGGCGAAGGTCTCAATTGAAATGAAGGAACAGGACATTGTAGAAAAATTAGAAAGTTACAACCAAGTGATCCTTCTACTCTACAAGAAAAAGTGATGTCTACAAATCATAAGCTTGCTTTTGGGCAAACTTGAGCTCCGCAGGGTTTGCATTCTTTCCAATGCTCCTGTTGTTAACTCCTACTGGAGACCTGCCGGCGTTAACCTTCTCAGGGTACACACCATCTTTAGGGTGAAGGTATTGCACCTCACCGTTGGGGAAGACACGGTAGAACTGATATTGGATTTTGAACTTGGTCCTCAATCTGGCGCCCAAGGCAAGGCACTGCTCCTTCCTTGCGAGCTTCAATAGGTTAGGTCCCGACCTCATGATGGCAGCTCCACCTGCACAATACACATCGTCAACTCTCGGATCTCGGTTACCGACATCCACTGGTCACTTCTAACGAGGTAGATTCAAGTACCCACAATGTGGATGACGTTCCACTTTCATCTTGGATGTCAGAGTGCCGCATTCGCAGACATGCTAATTCATGCAATGATCTAGTTGTAATGGTTAAATATACAGACAATTGCGTCGTCAGAAACCAAACCACTGCGATGTAGGTGTGGATAATTACAAGTGGATAAACCGCATTTCAATTCAGAACTCACCGGTGGGCATTTCGAAAATTTGCTCCTTGGGTGATTCCCAGGTGATGACATAGAACTCCTCAACCTGCGCCTTGCGAAGAAGACCACCCGTGCTACCACCGAAGATGGGAGCGGGGGTGTCGGCGTTCAATGTTGGCGGGGTAAAACCCTTGGGCGCCTCTGCGGCGGCATCCGGGGCGGCTGCGGCTTTAGCCACCACACGGTGACTATTGCACACTGCTACGAGTCTCTGACCCTATGTATGTACAACGACAATAACAACAAACCGACCCCTGATAAGAAAATTGGACAATCTTACTCTGCATGCGCAGAAACCACACACACACACACACATTCATACAATTGACATACACACTTCCATCGGAACCCCACCAACTCATTCAAACCACAAGCGCACCTGGAGGCTAGAGACGCGAAGGGAGACACCCCTGGTGCTGACAGCGGCACCGGATGAGGCCTGGGGTGCAATCAGGGCAACGGAGGCCGCGGAAGTAGCTGCGAGGGCTGCCATCACTACTGCCGCTGCTTCAACTGCGCTGTGCAAGCTGCTGAAGGTGGAGATGGCGGACGAGTCGAGGCGGACAATGTTGCTGCTACTGCATCAAGAGTGTGGATGTCACACACCATGAAGACACCTGAACTGCACGACAAGTCTGGGAACAGATTGAGATGGAGTTGCAAGGACAGTAACCCTTGCTCCAGATTGGAGCCTAGCAGATAAGATGGCGTGGGATTGGGTGCGTGCGTCCGAGCCAACTGCAACCGCTCGTGGCCCTCCTCCAATATTCGTCACTGCTACTGCTGCTGCTGCGTGCCCTCATGGATGAACGTTGCTTCCAGCTGTGATTTGTCTTCATTCTTGCTCACATTCCTGCTTTGTTGCATCATTGATTGCGTCGACACAAGAATCTGGTTCGAGTCGAGCCTCCATGCATCACTGCGTAGCCGATGCTGGTAATTTGGTGATGATAGAACAACGATAGCTCCATGGCTGGACATTTCAGATAGTTCGTGGAAATATGTGCACTGTTATCGTGGGATATATTTCTATCCTCGAGTGACCTCGTGGTTTGCAAATTATGGCCGTTAGTGGCCGAATTGGCTGAAGGGGATTTGAATGCCCCCAACCTTGAGATTTGGTACGATGATTTGTAGCAAATGGAATTCTCAGGGACATCAGATGATAGACGAGGCCATACATCAAAGGTTCGCTTTCGTTATCATTGAATCCATTTCGGGATGAGCCCATCTTAGTTAGTGTCGATCAACCCACCATTCCTCGTTGGCCAATCGGTGCGTTCCGGGTGACCTGAAATCTCACCAACAACCGAAGAAAAAACGAAAAAGTCTTGATGTATACCATAAGGCCGGGATCCCTGTGGCTGAAGTAGAACCACACAGAGTGAGTGCTACAGTTTCAGCTACAATAATGATGGGTTTCAGCCGCAACCAAGATTTTGGTTTTGTATCAATCACGTCTTGCGTTGTGACCATTGCGCTGACTGCGATGCACAGTATTTTCAGGGAAAATCGTGGCACACTGTATTGGATTTGTTGTTGTCGAATGTGTCACTGCCCTGCAAAACCGTGTTCCTGTCCTTGCATCAAGCAGATTGTCAACAAGGGGGCAGCTGGAGGGTTAGGTGACGCAATCCTGTTACGGGGGAGTAAAAAATCAAAAAGTTCCACAACCATTATGAATCGGAATTGGTTGTGCTTGATCAACAGTGCTCATTAATCCGTCGATGCAACACTGTAGCTGTCGAATCGCGATGAAATCTCTATCATCTCTTCCTAAAGGTGACTCACTAAACCCTAATTATGTGGATTGTGGATGTGCGTGTGGAGTGCACAGACCCCACCGGGCTGCGGATGATGTGCTCGACACCAACTGCAACACAATGTTTTGCGGCGAGAACATGGAAGAATCTTTCAGCTTGGGCCCAGTATGCGCGTCAAATGTTGCTCATTCTGCATAACCGCCTTCACGTCTACCATAGGGGATATCCGGTCCTAATTCACAAAGAGGCCGCGTGAAAACATTTCGCTGTTCCATTTCACACGGACAAGTGAAGCAAGTCAACCTACGTGCGTAATACTACAGGAGAAATCGATTAGAAAAAGCAGACACATTTTAGAAACCTTCGATGGATTGAAATGCAAAGAGGACAATTGTTCACTAACTTGAAATCCATTGCATGGAAAGTGGGTTGCAGCATCCGGTTACATTTCGAGACATCGAACCGTGGAGGACACTGCAAGGCTATGAAGTTAACTGAGCATTGCACATGACGCGTGAGATTGCTTGGGGTATGCGAAATTCAGTTTGAGATAGCACGTTTTCAAGGACAACCATTTGAAACATTGTGGAGGAGAATTGAGTAAGAACGATCACTACTCAGTCTGATCTCCGAGACTTTTTGGTGACAACCATCTTGTGAGCCATGCCAGACTTCATGGTTGCACGTAGCTACAACCTTTGAAATCATGCTTGACCTTCATTTATTTTACAAAAACATCAAAACACACCAAAACACTATACACGTGGAGATTTGAATGCAGAGACACAATCATCCATTCATCTGTTCCTTTAGAGTTAGCTTTTCTTTATCAAACGAGAACGGCACCACATGTAATGCATTAGGTTTCGTTAGGATTGGCTCAAACATATTTATACATATCTTTTTTTCGAAATGTGGGCATCGTGTTCTCCGTTTCACACTTCCAAGTGCCGAAACACCCCAAGGGTCTGGACTGGTGGCGGGTCTACAAAAGTGACTCCAAAGTCGCATCCTCCGCGTTTTCGTCATTCGGCGTCCTTGGCAACGCGTCCCATCCCCCAGGAGTAGGCGACAGGCTGGTATTGTCCAAATGCGGTAAGAAACCTCTTAGATTCGTAATCCTCCTGGGAGCTATTTATAGAGGGGCTCATCTTTACAGCAATCCCACTCGCACAATCCAGCATGAGCACATTCGCAGGCCCATACTTCCAAGTTATGTCGAGGGAATGTGATCTGGTCCGGGAACAGAGGTCCCCGTATGTATGCAGATCTCTTCCGTCTTCGTTGATGCACAGCGGTTGAATAGACAAATTTGAGTACCATAATCATAGCGACTTCCTGTTTCTATTCATTGCTCATACGTTTGTTCAACGAACTTCACTTGGTGGATATGCTGCTCGTGTCATGCCCATCCTGTTGATAGACCTTCGAACAAGATCATGCTTCTGGAATCCTTCTTGGTTGAGTGGGTGTTGAAGTTTGCTCAGCTGGCTTCTGGGTGGACCGAGTTTTTCTATAAAAAAGCAGGTATTTCACAGTGCTGTGGAGGGGTGTGGAGTGTGTGCTTGAAGTATATTTTGGAATGCTACAGTCTGACGTACCTTTGCAGAAATCCATGACACATTCGTAACACGGTCGAACCTTTTTGAGCAGCTGGAAATCTGGAGAGATGAATGGTTGCCCTCAGAAGGAACCCACAAGGCCATCGTTCTAGGACACAAGCCGGACTCGAAAGAAATGTGTGCATCCCTAGGTGCTTCCTCGAGACGCAAATCTTCACAGTTAAGTGTTGTGGTATCTTTGCAGAGACCCAGCATTAATGGCCGTTGCCATGAACTGAGAACCAAAGGTCCTGAGGAGCACCCATGACGCACTCCTCCCTCCTCACCGGGGGCAAGCAACACGCAGCTTGATAGGAGAGGAGGGAGCTTCTCTTCCACAAGATCAATGCGAGGTTGGTTTTGTATGTCCAGTGTCTGTCAATGTCGTTGATGGTGATGCGCTTGTATCTCGAAAGGACCATTCGTGAGGGAATGGTGTCGTCGTGTTACAAGCCCATCACCCTCAACGACATGACCCGCCTGTTTCATACTCCACCAAACCTCGCTCCCAATTCTGCTGCAGCAGGTCCAGATTCACGACACCCCAGGGGACAACAGTCACAAAAGCAGGTATGCAAAATAATCTGTTTTGCTAGAGAATTAATGAATGAATGATGTGCAGGAGAATCGAAGTAAAACTCATTGTGCAAGCTCCTTACATGTCAACCACCACCTTATGTACACTAACAGTAATGGGTTCCTATTTACAATCCCAATTGCAGGGCTGAAAGAGTGAGATGAGGAATATCAATCAGTGAGGAATGTGCGGCGGTGAGGTTCAATCGTCGCCCTGGCAGGCATGAAAGAGATGGGATCCACCGACATGGATGTCGGTAGAGGTGCCGATCTTCATCACCGACATTAGATTCAAGCCATTTTGTGTGTGGAATTTGGGCATTGTCGAAATTTCAAGTGGCGCTCTCTGCACTTGCATGATTCAATCATGTTGCTTTCTTCTCATGCGAAGTCTGTCCGCATTCAGCGATGTGTGTGTGAGTGTGTTTTTCTTTTCAATGTGCGTGAATCTATATATATATATATATATATACATACATATTTATGTATTTTTTTATTTATTTATGTGTTGTGTAATGTAAGTGAGGAATTTTCATAGGAAAAAATTGTAGGTATTAGATTTTAGAGGCATCTTTTTTGGTTGAAATCGAATATGATATTTTTTAATACTAGAGTGAAAAAAAAAATAGATTACAAAATTGAGTTGTTCATATTAAAAGATGCATTCATGTATTGTAAAGAATAATGTAAAAAACAATAAAATACTAAATATTAGATCTATATTTTGCCTTGATTGAAATATATTTTTGGGAAAATATCATTTGTAACTTTGAAATATGTTGACATATTAAGAACACCTATATATTCTACTCTTGGTGATAACAAATATACCCCTCACTTTTGTGATAATTGCAAAACTACCTTTAACTTTATTCCGATTTTAGATGAATCTGGACCCTAACCGGGTGCAGTGCAAATATGGCCTGCAAGTGTGGCGATTTCCAGATAATATCAAATTGAAACTACATGGAGATGTTTGAAACAGTGATATTACTCGCCATATGTTGTCTTTACCCAGTTCATTAGAATTACACTAGCTTCATTTTAGAAATTGATTCTACGGCTCTTTGTGCTGGCTCATATTCGGCATTCTTGTTTGCTCTTTTCAAGCTATTTTATTTGAAGTTTGTTTTCACATTGTTGTGGATGATTTGAAGATGCTTAGTTTGAGCGTTTGCATTTTGACTACAAAGTGGGAGTGTCTGAGTAACATTGACACAGGTCAGAGACATATCTTTCACAGTGAAGGTGTTCATTTATATCAATTCTGTTCAAGTCAAGTCAAGAGATGCCTTGAAGTAAGGCGTTGAATTGTATAGTACTCTTTTCAGTTACTTAGATTTGAAGATAAATCTGGGGAATCACTGGTAAAAGTTTTTTTTGTTATGTTTGTTTGTGTTATGGAAGGAACTTTGAAAAGAAATGGTCATTAGCCCTAAGATTGATGAATAGTTGAATTTGACGAATTACCAGACCGTAAATGATTTTCATGTATATATATATATATATATATATATAAGAGTACATTTGCCTGTGTGTGTTCACATTCGACCTTTATAGGAATCATTCAGGTTTCATGAAAAGTAGGTGAAGTGAATTCCCTTCTAGAATGGAAGCTTGGTAGACTGACATTAACAGCACGAGAGAGAAAAAGCTTCGCCGATGCACACATGGCGCATGCAAACATTTGCATACTCAAATGTAGGTTACAACTCGCTGAGTTGTACACACAGACCTCGATGATCTTCATTTGTTCCACTTAAAGGTGACGGCGTATGTTTCGTAGAAAGAAAATAAAGCACAGCATGGGCAAAGAATTTAATCAAGTGTCAAACGTGATCTCAGTTTTAGCATGTTTCGCGGGTGCTATACAATTGTCTTGTAAAAGCTGCAAGCTTGGATGGACCCCGGCTTGCAAAACGATTACTCGAGCGACATCGGTCTCAGCGTGGCCATCCTGCCGATGTCGTGCGTGGAGACGGATCCGAGGTCACGCCCCGACGTGAAACAGATCAACTTCGCGTTGTCAAAGTTGTCCAGTGCGTCGCAGGAGTGGCAAACGTCTTCCCGATACTCGAACCACCCCATCAAAGCTCGCTGATCATTCAGATACGGTGTCTAGACTTTTTCCATCCGCATGCTCGAATTCTGTACAGACGCACCTCGAGGATTGTACGCCGCGATCGATTTTGCCGTTAGGCGTCGCGTATTTGGGGATACACTTGCGAGGCCAGACTTACACGGCACACGGTTTGGGTCCAGGATTCCATTAAAATGGGAATAAAGTTATATCTTATCAAACTCAAGGTAGTTTTGCAATTATCACAAAAGTGAGGGGTATATTTGCTATTAGGGGTATTTTTGATATTTCAACATAATTCATGGGTACAAATCATATTTTTCCTATATTTTATAGAGCCTTCCAAGTAAGAAATATGCTTTTTGTGAATGTAAAATATGTTTATGTGGTAATCCTACAATAATAATAATTATTACATCAAGAGAAAAAATATTAAATTAAATTAAATTAAATTAGAGAAGTTATCCACTGACCAACTGTCAAAATTAGAGACAAATGTAGGTGTATATAAAATCAAAATAAAAAAATGTTATTAGAAAAAAATAAACTAGTTCTTAAAAAGTATATTGAACAAAGAAATTAAATTTTCTATCAATTGATTTTTGAATTCTGGTTCTAAAAGTTAAAGAAGTATATCTCAATATTTTTTATGATTTTGTAGCAAGTTATTATTTTAAACAATTTTATATAATCAAAAATACTAGATATGAAGTTTTATGCAAAATAATATAAATTTTTCTTAATATAAGAAATATGTAGCAAACTAAAACAGTTTGTGCTCATATTGTAAAAATCTAAACACATATATTTTTTAATATTAACCAAAAAAAGAGTAAAATCATTAAATAAAAAGTGTATCTTTAAAAAAACAAGTTCTCTAAAATCAAGTTTAGGATTTAGGATTTAGAGATTAGTGATTTAATAAATCAAATAGTTATAAAGCATATATTAAACATTAAAAATATTTTAAGTATAAAAATCCCAAATCAATAATACATTCCAAAGTTATATTTGAATAATTTTTGTCATATAAAAATATACCTTACAATATTATTCAACTAAAAGAAATTAAATGTGCTCATGACAACATAGTTTTTCTTCTAAATATTATTCAATTATCAATCAAAAAATTTAGTCTTAATTTATTTTAGATAACATCTTATAGTTTTAAAGTAGATAAAAAATCTTGTGGAATTAAATTTCTTTCTAATATTTTAAAAAAATTAAGAACTATTAAGACAAATCTAAAATCCTTATATATATATATATATATATATATATATCAAAAATATTCTAGGAAACTAGATTTTTTCTAATTTAAAAATTGACTTTGAAAAAAAATCTCAACCACCCCTTGGATTAATCTACAATCTATTACATAATATATACAAAATTTATAAAGAGTGCGTCAATTAAACAACTTCAAAAACTTTGTCCTTAAACAATAACTAAAACAAATATACATGTTTCTTGATTTTGTTTTTTTTAAAAAATGATTTCATTACAAAAAAAGTATAAATGTTTTTAAACACAATAAATCAAATATCCAAAAAAACTATATATTGTTTTTTAAATTAAGGTTCTTTAATCAATTCAATCAAATTAACATTTAAAGAAGAAAATCTATAATAAGATGCATTGTGTTTTGAAAAAATATACTTTAATGTACAAAATTTGACTTTTTCTAAGACTTTATCAATTTCTACTAAATATTCATGATAGATTTTTTAAAAGTTATTGCCCTGTTCATACAATTTATTTATAAAGACAAAATGAAATAGAAAAAATATTATAAAATAAGATTTTAAGAGTTAAAATTAAAATATATTACAATAACTTTACTTATAGTGCATATTGTGCAAAAACTTTTAAGTAAAAACATAACCAATTTCTTTGTTAATAACACATAAAAATATTTAATGATCTTAATTTCTTTTATACGTAATAAATAGCTCTTTTTTATACTGAATCATTTTAATTAATTAATATATATATATATATATATATATATATATATCAGCTAATAAAAAGAATTAATAAATTCATCCAATTTTGAAGCTATATATATATATATATATATATATAACCAATTTAGATAATTGGAAAGATTATTTGCTACTACCCAATTTCTTTTAATAGTATAATACATTTTTTAGACAAAAAAAACTTCTTCTATTAATTAATTTATTGTATTTATATGTGAAATTTACTTTTCAAAAATTTAAAATATTTGTGAAAAATAATTAAATTTTTTTATTTCATAAAACTACACAAAACCTTACAGATATAATTGAAAAAGTTTAATAAAATGTGAGACTGATTTAATATTTTTCAAAAACACAATCTTAGTTCAGATTTGTGATAAGGTTCTGTTCTTTAGATTTGAAGCAACCCCAATATAAATTAGCACGTCTAATACATTAGCAAAAATATGACAACAATGAATATATTTAAAATTTATTCTAAAATCTTAAAAATTCATAAAAGAAGGTTTTTATCTCATGTCAAAAATATTTATTTAAATCATGTATTAACTATCAAAACAATAAAAAGATGAAATATAGTAAAAAATAGTTTAAAAAAAATCTAAGTGTGTTTTAATAAAATAAAGAGCCAACAATCAATGAATGTATTGTAAATATGTTATTCTAAATTTTTCAAATAAACCACTCACAATTTTATAAGTTCTTACATTATTGTGTCAAAAATCAAGCTGAAGATCTTTTATATTAATACTATTTTATTGATTAGAATATAAAATACAATACATTTGGTGCATTATCTATGAAAAAAAAATTTGGTCATTAGTGACATTATTGGAGGTATGTACTATATATAATAATGTTCTAAATATTTTATTTTAAGATAATTATAAATGCCTTTAAAAATAAAATAAAATAAAATAAAATAAATCAACTAGTCTTTTTATTCAAATATATAATATCTTTGATGGTTTAAATGATTTTATAGTCACCTTTTTATAAAAATTAAAGTATATTTTCTTTTATTTTATTTTATTCAACTTATAGTCTTATTAATCTTTATATAAATCATCTCTAAATTAAAAGGTAATGACATAAATATTTATGTTATAAAAATGAATAAAATTAAAAAATTTATAAATTAAATAATTATAGTTTAAATTTATAATATATTTATTTTAAATAAATAAAGTTTATTAAAAAAATAATACATTTACAAGTATCTTTTGATGCATGATGCTAAAATAATAACTTCTAAATGTATATTCATATATAAAAATAACTATGAAAATATATTATAATTTAAATTAATATTATAGAAACCTTATAACCTTCATAAAATATTTTTTATAAATAATTCAGGTAGTTCTTAATTTCTCCAATAATTTTTTTACACTCAAATCTTTATCAAATGTTTTTTATCACTTTTTTTTTTTATCATTTTTCAGATTTCTAAATAGTTTTAATTTCTTATTTTTTATTTATTTTTGTTCATTGATATGTTAATTTTTATTTAAGAAACTTTAAAAATTTTATGTCTACAATAATTTAAAATTTTAATTATTTTAAATTTCTAACAACACCTCAAAATAAAGTATCCTAAACCATTAAAGACTTATATATATATATATATATATATATATATATTGTTGAATATT